AGCAGAACCACAATTATATGGATGTACATTGAGTTACATGTGAAGAGGAGGGCACTTCTTCCCTACTGTAGGTTAACGACTGGTAACGAAGTGACACTACTTCATAAATTCCAATTCAGTGAAATAGCCACACTCACAAATGAAAGAAAGGCTTTCTTGAAACAATGGGAAATTTCTGATTGTCACCGACGGCTTCAGCTTAATGAAAATCGGCTGAATCAGTTCACTTTCAAATTGTGGCCACTATTACTATCTTCGTACTCGATTTCTCAAATTTAATTTTTTTTTTCGAAATTCTTCAAAACTTAATTCACTTCATTTTGTCCAATACGGACTTTTGTCCTTCTCAATGAAATAATACATCGTTGTCAGTTTGGACTTAGAAAATAGAGTTTCACTCCGAAATTATTGTGAGGTAATTTATATGATATTATTGAAATAATTCAAGTTCTTTTTATTCCATGTATCGAACAATGTGGCAGCAAGAGATCAGCGATTGTTCACTCAATCAATCTCATGTCGGTTTTGCTGGAATTTCAATTCTCTACCAAAACAATCCTACGCTTCTATAGGAATTCGTGTAACATCTTTAGTACAATTGAATAGGAAACTATGGTGTTTTTCACAACTTGAATATAAGTCACTATAATGTCAGATATCGAATTTAAAATTTATTATTATTGTACGCCAACCATCATGATTTTAACCTTCACGTAACAACAAACTTTTTATAATTTTTGTAATTCTGAATACAGAGGAATGATAACTATTTATCATCCCTCAATTAGATTTATATATATATATATATATATATATATATATATATATATATATATATATATATATATATATATATATATATATATATATATATATATATATATATATATATATATATATATATATAAGAAGAAAATTAATCGAAAATTAATCAAGAGAATGTTAGAGTGCTATGTAAACGTGTACGATGTGATGTCCCCATTATCCTTCAAGAGATGAATGTAAGAGAAATATTGAAAGCGATGCCACACCTGATGGAAGTGCGAGACAAATATGCTTCGTTCCGCAAGGAACTCCTCAGTCGCACCACGTCCTTCGAAGAGTCGATCAATCTCATGTCGGTTTTGCTGGAATTTCAATTCTCTACCAAAACAATCCTACGCTTCTATAGGAATTCGTGTAACATCTTTAGTACAATTGAATAGGAAACTATGGTGTTTTTCACAACTTGAATATAAGTCACTATAATGTCAGATATCGAATTTAAAATTTATTATTATTGTACGCCAACCATCATGATTTTAACCTTCACGTAACAACAAACTTTTTATAATTTTTGTAATTCTGAATACAGAGGAATGATAACTATTTATCATCCCTCAATTAGATTTATATATATATACATATATATATATATATATATATATATATATATATATATATATATATATATATATATATATATATATATATATATATATATATATATACAAGAAAATTAATCGAAAATTAATCAAGAGAATGTTATAGTGCTATGTAAACGTGTACGATGTGATGTCTCCATTATCCTTCAAGAGATGAATGTAAGAGAAATATTGAAAGCGATGCCACACCTGATGGAAGTGCGAGACAAATATGCTTCGTTCCGCAAGGAACTCCTCAGTCGCACCACGTCCATCGAAGTGAGGCAACGACTTCAACCTCCAAGCATCTTCTTGAGACTTCAAGCGGAAGATCGTAGAGTAATGAATACTCTACAATTCCATCTATGCAAATCAGTAGAAAACACATTCCTCAGATTACAGACACAACAAGCATCGAAATTTCACATATCTTCTATACCCGTAGGTATCTACTAAATTGCAATGTCTATTTGACAAATATCATCGAACGTTGTTTTTAAATGTAGATAGGTTGCGTTAGTAGTACGCTCGCGTCTATTCCCGTACTTCAGGGGCCTATTCGGCGATATTTTTGAAATGATTTTTTTTTTCTTATGGTACTGAATGAAATATTTAAGAAAATGAACACTAGAACATTAATTTGAATAATTGAAATGAACCAAGAGAATGTTATAGTAGAGCTAGATATGTGAACGTGTATATCTCTAGCTCTACTATAACATTCTCTTGATTAATTTCAATTATTCAAATGAATAATCTAGTAGTGTTCATTTTCTTAAATATTTCATTCAGTGCCATAAGCACAAAAAAATTTCATTTCCTTAAAAATATCGCCGAATGGGCCCCTCAAATACGGGAATAAACGCGAGCGTTTTACTAACGCAATCTATTGACATTCAAAGACATCGTTCGATGATTTTTGTCAAATAGACATTGCAATTCAGTTATATCAGATATATCAGGTATATCAGATATGTGAAATTTCGATGCTTGGTGTGTCTGTAATCTGAGAGAGGTGTTTTCTACTGATTTCCATAGATGGAATTGTAGAGTATTCATTACTCTACGATCTTCCGCTTGAAGTCATGAGAAGATGCTTGGAGTTTGAAGTCGTTGCCTCACTTCGGTGGACGTGGTGCGACTGACGAGTTCCTTGCAGAACGAAACATATATGTCTCGCACTTCCATCAGGTGTGGCATCGATTTCAATATTTCTCTAACATTTATCCCTTGAAGGATAATGGAGACATCACATCGTACACGTTCACATATCTAGCTCTACTATAACATTCTCTTGATTAATTTCAATTATTCAAATGAATGTTCTTGTGTTTTCTTAAATATTTCATTCAGTGCCATAAGCGCAAAAAAATTTCATTTCCTTATATATATATATATATATATATATATATATATATATATATATATATATATATATATATATATATATATATATAGACATCCCAGGCTATGTACGCTCCCGGTAAACCGGTGCAATGATTGAGAATTGAAAATTTTTACAATATACAAAATAGATGGCTATTGAGAGTCAAATTTCAATTAAGGAAATTATTTTCTCTTGTACTCACTTAGATTAGACAAAAATATAAAACAGGTAAAGTGAGTATCTCTCTTTTTAAATGAACTCCTGGCTAGCTTCTTAGGCTACGTGGGATTGAGGTATCACTTCTGTCAACTTCGCAGGATTGCTTACTGCTCTCTGCCTCGTTCTTTCAACCAAGTTCTAATATTCAGATTCGATTATCCAAATTCGATTATCTGGATTCTTCTCATCTTATAGTCAGCCTGGGAATAAAGTAGATGCCCTGATGTTGTTTCCAAGGGACGGACTAGGAAGTTCTACATACGTTATGCAAAAATCACAATATTGTACAAGATATGCCGTCACCCGACAAATCTGCCTTTTCTCAACAAAATCTTTGAAATATGCTAAGACTAACAACTCCAATAATTGCAAGGTTCCCTGAGTCAAAACTGAATGAAATGAGAAAATGAAATAAACTGAATTAAGGAAACTAATTGTAAAAATATATATATATATATAATATATATATATATATATATATATATATATATATATATATATATATATATATATATATATATATATATATATATATATATATATATATATATATGCGAAACTTCTTTCAACCTGCTTCAACACTCAAGTTGAGGTTTGAAATATTACTGAATTTGTTTCGAAACTAGTACTGAATGATGTCAAACGTGTTTCACTGATAAATACTTTGAACGTGACATCTAGATTGATTTCCAATAATTAACTTGGAAAGTATATTGAATGACACTGCAATAACTTGGTATTTCCAACAAAACCGAATTGGAGGATCGTAGGATATAGAACAAACTTCATTATTGGCGTATGCCTATCACGATTTTCATTCAAATTCCAAGATAATATATTGCAATATCATACATGACCGTGTACACGTGAATAATAAATTAATCTAGTGAAATCGTGTACTATCTCTAAGCTTGAAGTAGATAAGTCGCCACTTAACTTTCATGTATGCACAAATAAAGAAGAAAATTCAATATCCGTTATTCAATTATATGGGAATTGTATATATATATATATATATATATATATATATATATATATATATATATATATATATATATAGAGAGAGAGAGAGAGAGAGAGAGAGAGAGAGAGCAGGAGTGTTATTTACTGATTTACTATCAGAGGTTTCGTTCATTGGAATATGCAGGGAACTGTTAACAAGGGCTAAATTTGTAATATCTTATTCTACACCAAGTTTTTGAAGTCATTCACCCATTCATGGGGGTTACTGAAGTTTTTGTTGAAATCATGGAGAGGTTGAAAAAATTGATGATAATGTAATTTACGAATAATAGCGTTTGAAATTATGTAGGAAATTTAACGGAATTCGATGAATAAACGATCAAACCCCAAAAACTAGTGCGGAATATACTCCTTCATAATTAGCTCACATGATTCTCAGCCAACCATGGATGAATAACCAGAAAAGAAATATACTTTTCTCGCACTACATATTCGTTCATTGTAAACACTTTGTGTACGTCACTTTGTATCTTTTCAGTACTGTAATTGTTTATATTCTGAATAGAAAAGAGAAGAATAGAAATTGTTGTCGAATTTCCTCACTAATTTTAAACATTAATATTCATGAGTTGCATTATTATTTATTTCATGAAATGCGTAATAATTTGAACCGAAATTTCAGCAGCATTGATGAAGGAGCAAATAACATCCAAAGCTTCGTGTATAATGAAATAATACACAAAATTCAGCCTTTTTTCACTGTTTAAGTTTACGACTTCGACTGCGATACGAACCTTGGTTTTCAGGTTTATGCTCTGCTGCTCTGACCAATAAGCTAACGAGGTCTCCACTTCGAGATGCAATTTCGACTTATATCTAATATCTCTTTCATTCGCAAGATAGACATTGCTCTGACAGTCGTCTCTTCAAACAACAGGCGACAGTGAGTAAACTATTTACCATCTGATAAAATTGATTAACTGGTTTGCGAATAAATGAGTAATTAGATAAAAGTCGAAGTGAAGACCTCGGTAGCTTAGTAGTCAGAGCATCCGGGCGTCAACCTGAAGGCCTGGGTTCTTATCCCAGTCGAAAATGTAAACGAAAGGGTGTAATTTCTATCTCAGTTTTCAATATGAAAATACCTTTATATAAATATATATATATATATATATATATATATATATATATATATATATGTATATATATATATAATATATTTATATATATATATATATATATATATATATATATATATATATATATATATATAAAGAGTAATTTAATCGTGTTAACCAACCACGTGCGGACATGAACAATCGTATTAATATTTTACAGTGAAAATTGAGAATTGAAATTACACTTCAAAAGTTTTGAACTTCAAAACTTTTGAAGTGTAATTTCAATTCTCAATTTTCACTATATATATATATATATACATATATATATATATATATATATATATATATATATATATATATTTATACACACTACACCGTACTATATGAATACGTACTTCACCGCAATCCAGTGACTGTTTGAAAAACAGAAACATTCCCACCTCGTGGAACAACGCGTCAATTATTTTCTCCTATGAGAAAAGGAATGGGAAAGGGAATTACTGAGGATAGGAATATAATTTTGCTATACCGAGCTGATCCAGAAAATATACGAACATGCCACAGCAACCATCAAAATAGACGAATACTCGGAAAAATTGCCAAAAATGGGAGGCATCAGACATGGAGACCCGTTTTCCCCAGAACTGTTCTCAGCTGCTTTGAAAAGTATGTTCCAGAAGCTGGACTGGAGCGAGAAAGGAATCAAGATAAATGGCCGCTACCTTAGCCACTTGTGGTTCGCTGACGATATACTCCAATTTTCGCACCATGCTACCGATCATCAAGAGCGCATCAATGAACTGAACATCGTGAGCAAAGAAAGAAGTCTGGAAACAAACACCGCAAAAACAAAGATGATGCTGAACCCTTTCAGCACCAGAGAGCAAATGGAGGTAGACGGATCCCCATTAGAAATGTGCAGCGTCTTGCACATATCTGGAACAGATTATCGCGGGAGATGAGGATATTACACCGGAAATCAAGGAAAGAACCAGAACAGCAGTTGGCCGACTGAAACACATCTGCGGGATATGCCGACAATTATCATTTGAAATTTCTTCCGTATCAAATAGTATTTGAATATGTTTCAACATCTCGGCTTAGGGCATCCTTGATAATAAATAGTCACCTCACGGGCAAATCAGTTTTCAAATCTCCCAATCCGGAGAGAAAAAACGCGGTAGAGTAAAATGTTGCGACTTCCTGCAGAGAATGTTTAAATTTCTTAGTTTTTTTTTTTTCTACCTCCAATTTCGCAGAACTAGAAGTTGGCTATGCCGTTCTGTTGAGAGCCAATAACCTCGTAACACGTGTCAACGGCTGCTACCAATCTGCGGGATATGCCTACAATTTTCATTCCCATTAAAATTTTCTTCCATATCAAATATTATTAACGAATATATATATATATATATATATATATATATATATATATATATATATATATATATATATATATATATATATATATATATATATATATATATATATATATATATATATATATATATATATATATATATATATATATATATATATATATATATATATATATATATATATATACATAGATATAAGAGATATGAAGATAAAAAATGAATCTTTTAATTGGACGTCTTAATTTTCAGAGTTTCTCAACTGGAGGAAACACCCTGTTAATGACAGGAAATTCGTAGATAATTGGAACAATTTCGAACAATGCTAAACTCGTTATAAAAGTATATACGTAGGCTGTCCCAAACTTTAAGAACATGGAATTTACTGATTTTTTTCGCAAAATGAATGAAACACTTGAAACGGATATATTTTTTTCTTGAGAATTGTGAAGTTGAAAGTGAAGTACTCAAAGAAAATATCAAAACAGTAATTAAAAAATTGAGAACTTAGTTACTGCAGAATCGCAGAAGTTGCGAACTCACTACTCTCTATATTTAATGGAGGACAATATTGATCTTCGGAAGTTTGTAGACTATCTCTGTGACCCAATAAAGACTTTTATCAAGGAAGGTTTAGTATGAAGTTATTGATTTTAACTCATTTGTTTGCTAACTTCAGTTTGCTGAAGATCCAAAATGGCAAGATCGTAAATAATTGTTCGGGAGATAAAGCGATTATGTAGTAACAAATTGAATATAGGTACGTCCCTTTGAATATCATGTCTGGAGAATGTGAACTTTGCGTAAGTATATGAGTGGAGTTTCAGTGTTCTGGCAATGATTCGTTTGCTATCTATATTATCAGTGGTCGAATAATAATTACTATATATATATATATATATATATATATATATATATATATATATATATATATATATATATATATATATATATATATATATATATATATATATGTTTATTTAACATAAATTTCTTACAGAATTTTGTAATATATAAATTAGCACATCGTTTTCTATAATATGACTTTCATACTGTCAAAACCAAAATGTAAATAAACAAAAACTACTCCATTCCCACAAAGGCTTTGCCAGAGCGTGGGATAACAATTTCCTCAACTTAAACAATAATTTCTTCAACGAAAACAATAATTCAAAGTAGGAATAATTTAAAGCAACATTATTCATTCAAAAAACAAACCCAAAGACAACACCCCAGACAGAGCGCTTTCAATCCACTCATTCCATCAAGGAGCCGATGAGATTTCTAGATCGCTCCATGAGAAACGTTTTCGTTCTAACTACGAATTTTTTTCTAGTTTTCAGATTCCTTATTTCATGCGGTAGAAAATTAAATAATCTATTTCCCAGATATTCCAGACATCGGCGCCCCACAGTAGTGGAGCAAAATGCTGTTCGAGTTTTCTGCTGTGAAACACTTCTGGTATGATAGTCGTGTTCTATATAATTTAATTTCAGCCGTTTCTCATATGTTTCGATTACACACTTCAAAAACAAGAGCTGTCTTATATCCAAAACATCTGCCTCCCGATATAGTTTATCTGATGGATAATCGCTAGTCCTACTAAGCATTAATTTTAGTACTCGTTTTTGGAATCTCTCTAATTTTATTATATGACATTTGGCAGCTGATCCCCATATCAAATTCCCATATGTCAATCTACTTTCAACCAAAGCATAATAAAATACTTTCAGTCTTTTCAGGTCTAAAACTTGTCTTAGAAATCTAAAATTTTGCAGTAGTCCCCTCAAGCCAGTCACCATCCCACTTATATGAGAATTCCATCTCATATGTCTGTCAATTATAATACCAAGATACTTTACTTGATCCTTCATTAAGATTTCTATAACTTTATCATCTTTAAAAATTCTCAATTTATCATATTTTGGGACATTACATGCAAGACAGCTAAAGGCTAAAAAACACGTTTTATTAAAATTAACTCTCAGAAACATATCACTGAATGCGTCAATCAAATGGTCCAAATCTGTTTCCACCTTCCCCTTCAAATTTTCCTATGTTTCATCTTCGTAAAAGATTACAGTGTCATCTGCAAAACTTGATATCTCACCTGCTGAGTCAACATTAAGTATACAATTCATGTATATAATAAACAAAACAGGACCCAACACCGTACCCTGTGGGACACCATACTCTACAATATTCTTCCTACTACAAGTTGAATCAATTTTTACATACTGCTCCCTATCTTTCAGGTAACTTGTCATTAAATCGCCCACAATTCCCCTCAAACCAATATCCCACAATACCTGCAACAACTGTCCATGATGAACTGTATCGAAGGCCTTCGCAAGGTCTAAGAATACAGCCATCGATTTTTTTCCCTTTTCAAGGCTTCGATATATTTTGGACGTCAAGAACACGGCTGCGTCCTGTGTTGAGAAATTTTTTCGGGAGCAAAATTGTCTCGAAGAAATGAAATGGTGCTTTTCCAAATATTATATCAGTCGCTTCTTTAACACTTTTTCGAAAATTTTTGTTAGTGAGATTATTAGCGCGATGGGTCGGTAATTCGATAATACGTTTTTGATTATTATTTTGTTTATTAAGTATGTTAAAGGAGGCGATATTTCTTCTGATATTTCTTTCAAAGTTTCTGATGGGTATATATACATACATAAATAATATTAGTAATAGAACTTTATTAGCACTTGATCACAAAATTCATACATATATGATGTTGCTAATATAACATATTTATGTCGAATTGCATTAATTAAACTTCACTAACTATGGACTACTAAGAGGATACAGCAGGATATGATTACTCCAACCAGATTAAAACGAAAAAACACTGTTTCACAACTGTTTTCTGCATTGTAAAAAATAAAATGATTAAAATAATTGAATCAGGTAGAGTGGTTTGGTGTAGTATAGACCTGCAACACATAATTAATATAAAAGAAAATTGGAAGCACTCAAAAAAATAGAAAAACAACCTAAGTAAAACAAATTCAATTCTGTTCCTTCAGAAGTAATTCAGAAGAAATATATAAATATATATATATATATTTTTTATTTCGAAAGTTTATATATATATATATATATATATATATATATATATAAATATATATATTATATATATATTAATGAGATTGAATTCTCGCTTAACTCTTGGTGAAACATAATTGAATATTAAGATAAATTAAACTCTTGGCTTAATGTTTCACGATTTATTTAACAATATGTATAGTCAACATGTTTCGAGCGTTAGCTCATTTTCAAGACTCACTTAGTCAGTCTTGAAAATGAGCTAACGCTCGAAACATGTTGACTATACATATTGTTAAATAAATCGTGAAACATTAAGCCAAGAGTTTAATTTATTTTAATATATATATATATATATATATATATATATATATATATATATATATATATATATATATAAATATATTGCCGGCCTGGGCGTGATCTGGAGCGATTAGGCATGGGATCATTGGATCATTCGTACCAATTGCGGGCAATTTTCTGTAGTGTTCGAATGAAATATCTACAAAGCCTTACATTCCCACTTTTGTTGTCATGAGTCGGAATCTT